GTTTCTTTCCATTTGGGGAGAAAATTGCAGAGGAATGGCATGAGAATCAGTATGTGTTATTTTTCCATTAGAAATATCTTTCTTTTGCACTCCTCTGAATTTATTATTTCCCATTTATATGACAAAAAATCAAAATAAAAATGTATTTTCACGACCATATCTCTTAAGGCAAAAAAAAAAGTATTTTTTGAATTCAACTTTTTATATAAATGAAGCAAAGACTTATATATGTGTCCGGAAACGTTCCAGTTTAGAAATACATTTTACTACTAGAGACAATTCCTAATTTTAACATTTTCATGATTTCTTTTAAAATTGAGGGTGATAATTTTTTATCTATTTTTTTTTAATATATTTTGTTTCTTTCTTACTAAGTCCCCTTGATAGAGTTGCCATGGGAGAAATGAGCAAGAGAGGCTGTAAGGGCTGCCCGTGAAATTCTGAGAACGGGTGTATGTCCCTCTGACACTTGGTGTAGTCATTCCGGATCCTCAGTGAGTCCTGTTCTGTATATTTTTAGCTGCTCTGCTCAAATCAGGGCATGTCTGCAGCTCAACCTTCCAGGGCAGTTTAACGAGGTAGCTCGGCAACCCCGAGAGAGAGTCAGTTCCAAACACCCACAGTGCTTTCAGCCTCTATCTGTAAGAGTTTTAAAAATAAGTAACTGACCCTTATCAAGATAAGAGATCGTGAGATGCCTCCAGATGTTTTTTCCTGTACGTTGATTTTGGGGGAGCTGAGCTCAGTCTCCCCCAGCGGGCCTGCCAGCTCAGACTGGGCCAGACGCGAATGCCACGAGCTCCGGGCTGCCACGCTCAGGGAGGACCGCCTCTCGGTCTTCGGGAAAGGTCACTCCCCAGCAGGTGGACGGAGAGAGGCTGACCCAAAGGAGACTGGGGCTTAGCCTTCTGGTACCCAGCAAGGACACCTCAGAGTCCCCGAGTACAAATGCTTGTGTGTGTGGAACCTGCCTTGGACTTCTTCTGAGGTGAGGACAGGACTATCGCTAACGGGACGATGCAATGCAGTTGATGGGTCTCAGCTCCCGACGTGCAGTGACATGCATGTCGGCGTGGACACATTCAGCTGGGAGAAAATGTCCTGTTTTGAGGTCTTTCTTAATATAACGATCAAATCCTCGTATTTATTTTCAAAAGAGGGTGCGGTGGCATGATAGCACATGGAGGAAGCACTTTAAAGATATTCTTATCACTAATTAATCGATGACACAACTTCAGTCAGTGGGTTTGATGATTTCCATTTGGCCCACCCTGTCTCGGGATGGGAGTTCTGTAAATGGGGGAAAACAGCACGGTAGTAGGCTGTATGTCTTGCTGAGGAACAAATCAGGGACAAGCAAGAAGCACGGTGGTCTGCTGTCACATTCTTGAGATGTGCCCCAATGCAGAATCGTATGGTTTTCATGATTACATATTTTCATGTACAGACATTAAGTTATGTTTTGACATTAGGGGATATGTCTCCTGACCTCCATGTGGGTGTGATCAGTGACAGTTCCTCTGGACATCCTAGCGGAATGTTTCCGTGGCTGGGAATAGTTCAGAGGAGTCATGAGCATACAGGGCGTTCTGGGAGGCTCGGGCCCACAGGTCTCTTTGATGACTTAGATCTGCAAAAGCAACACAAACCCAGCTCACTCCTACTTGAGAAGGGCTAGTTCCGTGAAATCAGAAATCCAGAAGTTTGTGAATGGTCCTGATTTTTTTTTTTTTCAGATTTTGCTTGGATTCTGCAGAACTTAAAACACTGTTTAAAACATTTTTTCATGATTCTCCCAGCACCATTCTTGAATGTCTTTTTAAGACACATTTTTCCAGTCAGGTGATAACGTGCACTCCTCCAAATTCTTTTCTCCCAAGGCAAGTGCAAGATCACGGACAAGGCACAAATGTTTTTAGCCTTAAATACATCTGTGAGGCGATGAGTCTAGCTCTAAGGTTACTTGTTCATCATGTGTCTCAGAGTATTTCCACCAAAAAAGCACCTTTGGAGGGGAAGAGAAGTGATATTTGAGGCAAGTGTTTCATGTCACAGAACTTTGCATCTCTAACCATGGGAACTTAAAATAGACTTGGTGCTATTGTCCCTGGTAACCGGCAGGAAGCCGGGAGGGTGGTGAGGGTCTGGTGTGCTTCCCCGCGGCTGCCGAGGACTTCAGTGCAGAGAACCTGCGCCTGCCTCATGGGGAGTTTCCATGGAAACCCAGGCAATCTCTTCTGCCGTTCTGAAACCCAAGCTGTGTGGCACATGGTACTGTCTGATTTTACCCACAGGGGATTTGGATCGCCCACATGGGCCTCCCTTCATGGAAAAGATGTGCTCTTAGATGGGTAGATGCAAATCGAACTCTAGTAAATCGATTCTACACCGCCCCATTGTCAAAGTCCTGGGGCTGGCTCTGTCTGAGAGCTAGAGACCCCTTTTGTTGTCACTCCTTCATTCACCAATTTCAGAAAATCGTATTTTTGAGGGTTGAGATTTCTTAAACCCAGGAAATCTGTATGTAAATCTTAGAGTTTAAAAAAGCTTCAAAGTCTTGAACAGCAACAGAAAAATGACTGCGTAGAGCTGATAGAAGGAACCGTCCGGCTGCCTTGTGTGGTCCGGAAGCTCCACCTATGGGTGAAAGAGCTGCGTCGCCAGCCCTGACAAAACCCAGGGCCGCTGTGTCAGGGGAAGGCGGCAAGGAAGGGCAGCGGCCCCTCCAAGCAGGCCTCCCGAGCCCCCGTGACAAGCCCAGGTCCTGGGCTGCAGGGGTGCGGAGCGTGAGCAGACAAAGGGGGTGAAGGCTGGGGAGCCTCCCCCGGAAGGAGCTTAGGGCAGGCCCCCCCCGTGAGCTGTGCAGGGGTGTGGCCAGGGAGGAGCAGACGCGGGTCCCCCAGCCTGGGACCGCACCCCATCTCTGTGACTGGAGCCCTTGACAAGAAGAACAAACCTTTTAAGGAAGCGAGAACTCTTTCTGGAAAGGGTTTTTCTCTCCCAACACAGTGGAAGCTCTGAAATGGGCCAAATTGATATTTTGTTGTTTTCCCGGTGATAGAGGACATTTTCAACACCTCTTTTTTTTTTTTAACCAGATGATGCCTTTGTAAATGGCTGAAACACACAAAACCTACTCTGAACATCTCTCCCTCTTTTTTTATAATTAGTCAAATCTGATTTTCATTTGCATTAGTTTGGTTATAATGCCTCACTTCAAATCTGAACAGAGTATGTCAACCTCCTACAGCCCTCACCAAAAAAAGGCATATTGAAAAATTTCTACTCATGTTAAAATGAATAAATTTTAAATAAATTTGCACCGAGTGCTTAAAATAGGAAGAGTTTGAGGATTTTTTTAAAAGCAAAAGGCAAGGCCAAGTGCATATTGTCGGCAAGTAGGAAACCTTTCTGTTTCCTGATACGTTTTCCGAACAGACTTGCATGAGATGTGCTTCTCTGCCGCAGCATGACTTTGATTGCTCTCAGACCGCCCCTCCGCGCGCTCCGGGGCTGGCCCCCTCCGTACGAGGGGCCGGGCGGGAAATCACCCAGTGAGGCCAGCCAGGTCACTGCACTTAGTATTTAGAAAGTAATTACTTAGCGATCGGCAGTAGAGTCTCATGACTAAACTTTAACTGTACGTAACCAGCTGTTACTTTAACAAACATCAGGTCAAAAATCCGATTCTGGGTTGTTGGTACAGATTCTGTTCTTGGTACAGATTCTACTTTAAAAGCCCCGTTGTTCTGCCTCAAATGCCTGTTTTAGAAAACCCTCGCTCCAAGCACGCACACAGGCGCCATGTGGCCCAGGCTGCCGCTCTCCGCCCGCACAGCGGGGCCCTAAAGCCATCGCTGAATTTCAGCAAGGTGCGGCCGGCACGCGGTCGGCACCCTTAGAGCTAGTGTCGCTCCCTTCCTTGGGACCGAAGAGGACGTAGACTGCGCCCAAATACCCAAAACTGACACGCATGGGTGTCGGCACAGGACCACCAGCCCCCCTCCGTGTGGTGCCGGGGACGTGCAGGGCACAGGGGGACCCCGTGCTCCTGGGCCCGGCTCGGCGTCCAGCTGCCGCCCTGACTCTCTGAGCAGAAAACAAACCGAAATCCCTCAGGGGCAGTAGATGTTTAGGAACTACCGGAAATGCGTGAGTTTTGTCCTTGCCGGAGCTCAGGTGCTCCGTGAGTAGGGGGGTGGGCACGGGGCACGACCCAGGTGCCACTGTCGGGTGCAGTGTTGCTTACTGAGTCCCCTCCACCCTGACAGGGTGTGTGATTTGTTCTCTTTTGTTAAATATGCAAACTTGATGGGAAAAAACAACTTTTTCTTAATTTTTGCCCTTAATTTTCACATTCTCAGTGGGAGAAAACCAAACCAGCGTGAAGGGAAATGTGTCTGCAGCAGCCCCGACCGCTCCTGAGGCGGCCGCCCTCGGGAGTGGTGTGGGGGCGGCGGTGATGAGCCTCGGTTTGAAGCATGTGCTGTCCCGCTCGGGCGACCACAGTGTGGTCGTTAGGAACCAGGGGACGGGGCCTCTCGGGGCTGCAGCGGGTGTGTGCAGGTGCCACCCCGGCTGACCAGCAGCCCTGGGCTCCGCCACGCCAGCCGAAAAGGCTTTGAGTCCCCAGTGCTCGGCTCCCAGCGGCTGCCCTCACGGGGCTCGGGGCACCCGTTAGCCCGGCTGGCCGAGGGTCCATCTCCCGAGGGGTGGGTCCCAGCCAGGCAGGTACTGAAATCCATGATTCTTCTGGAAAGTGCCATTGGGCTTGAAAGGAAGAAGGTAGCCAAGGTTGGCATCCGGTGGCATCCCGTGGCACAGTCAGTGGGCACAGGTCCCTGCTCTCAGCCGGGGAGCTTCCGGCTCCGTTTGTCTCCTTCGAGTAGGGCAGTGAAGCCGTCCGGAGTTTGCTTTCCTGGATAAAGAAGAGACTTAATTGTCCAGCGCACTTGCTTTCTTTCCAGTAAATTCTGCCCGTCCTGTGTTCTTAATTGCAGGTGCCCCACCCCAGGCTGTGATGGCTCCGGGCACATCACCGGGAACTACGCCTCCCACCGGAGGTAAGCGGAGCGCCCATTCCCTCCCGCCCCTGCTCCTTCTGTGCTCGCTTGGTTTGGCCCCGGCTGTGCACGGTCTGGAGGCTCCGTCGGCAGAGCAGCGCCGTGCCCCGGGGTCCCTCCTGGGACGGCCGGCGCACTCTCCTGACGGGCCTGGGGTCCGCCTGCGAGAACGTTGCCCGGGTCGTGCAGCAGCGGCCTCTCCAGATCGGAAGAGCTCAGGAAACAGACCCAGCACAGGCGTGTTATAAGGTCCCTGGGACAGTCACGGATGGGCGGGCGTTCCGGCACCGGCGGGCGTTGGCCTCTCAAATGGGAAGTCTGAGCCGCTGGCCGTCCAGCCGTTCCAAGCCAGGAGCAGAGCTGAAGACACAGAGCTGCGCGTTACGGGGCTCCTCGCAGGCCTTGGGGCTCCCGAGGAGAAGGGGTGTCGGAGACGCAGCCCGGCGATCCCGTCAGACGTGTCAGAGGTGCGCTGAAGCAGCTTTGGACGCGAGGTCTTCACAGAAGTGGGTCAGGACCTGTGGCCAGGTGCCCCGGCTTCTCCTCCTGTTCTGTCAGCGACAAGAGCCAGGGCCGGGGCAGGGACGAGGACGCTGGTGAGGGAGGACCCGTCCGACGGTGGAAAGTGGCTGCACCAGCAGATACGGACGCTGGTATCTGCTCACACGACGCTGCTTCCTTGTCGGCCGGACGTGAAGTCATGGAGTGAGCTGCCCTACAGTCCAGGAGCCCCAGCGCTTCAGACGCACCCCCCCCCCCAGAAGACAAAGGAAGAGGAGGGGGAGAGAGACGGAGACAGGGAGAGGGAGGCAGGGAGAGGGGAGGCCGCTCAGACAGTGTGAGCCGCGGGCCGCCCACCAGACAGACGGCGTTTGCCCACCAAGCGCACCGAGTGGATCCGTGGCTGGTGCGGAGCATGTGGCCGCCCGTGTGTCCCGGTGCCCATAGTCAGAGCAGGGGACGCTCCCTGGCTGCTAGCGTGGTTTGGACGAGGGACACGGGCAGCCCCCGTGGCGGGTGCCTCCCTCACAGAGATCCCCCGCGGGCCGCGCTTCCGTGCTCACCGTCCAAGCAGGTCCCAGCAGCACTGGGCTGGGGCACACGGCCTTGGACGGCCCACGAGGAGGACGGGATCACGGGGTTATGGAGGACTCTCCGTGCTCATCCTCCCCTCCGGGGCTGCCCCCACGGTGCTTCCGACACTCGGGGGAGGCCGGCAGCCTCCAGGCTCTACCCACGGGACGCGGCAGCACCAGCTCTGCCGCTGGCGACAACCCAAGAAGTCTCTGGGCGTCGCCGCGTGTTCTCCGGGGCCACCACCAAACACCGGAGCGGCCTCGCGGCGCTGAGCCGGCTGCGCAGCCCAGACAGAGCCTGCCGCGGAGTGTGGGACGCCGACGCGAGCCCGCGCTCCTGCGCAGGCTGGTAGGGCAACGTGGCTACTGTAGACTCGGTTCCATTCGATTCAGTCAAAAACAGCGACAAGCGGACCCTTCCCTGGGCGGCCGTTTCCCCTCAGGCTTCCAACCGCCCAGCGTGGTCCCGCCACCCGGGGTCCTGAGGAGCCCCTCGCCCCTGCGATGCGTCACCATGCATATGTGGCGAGCGACCCCAAGGCCAGGAGCTGTCCCCCAGCTTGAAATCACGTCTGTGCTTTTCAGGAGCCCCCAGGCGCCGTGGACGCCCCGGGAACGCCTCCCAGGCTGAGAGAGCAGCCGCGCACAGGGGGCTCCAGGATGTCACCTCATGACAAAGAAACATTTGCTGAGCACCTGCTGCATACCTCGAGTGTCACTGAACACTTGGCCTGTCTAGTTTTGCTGTCCTGTGAGAGCACTCTCTTTGCCCTGATCTCCCAGAGGGACCCCCACAGCAGCCACGTCACCACCTGTGGGGGCCCGACTCCCCAGGGCATGTCCACGTGTGGGCACCCCAGGCCGTGCCCGTCTGATGCAGAAGGGGCCCCAGGGCTGAGGAGGCAGCAGAAGGAGAGGACAGGGGATCACCCATGGGGCTGTGGGTCCTGGGCACAACCAGGCCTCTCCTCAGGCCTCCACAGCACGGCCGTGGGTACCCACGTGGGCACACATCTCTGCAGCCAGAGGGTCAGGGATGCAGCGTCTGTCTGTCCAGTACAGCGAGCCCTCCCACGGCCCTGTGGACAAGCCCGCCTAGACCCCGTCTGGACACTGCCAGGGCACCCGCCCCGGCCTTGCCTCTGGCGACACAGGGCAGGGGTCCTGAAAGTGCTGCTGCTGCTCCCAAAGTGCATGAGATCTCAAATCAAGACTCAGACACACCACGAGCCCCCGCATCAGTAACGGCAAACTGTGGGACATCTGTCCGGGATACGTCACCATGTAGAGCACAGTCACAATGTCACCCAGGATTCCCGGGTGAGGGATCCAAAAGTGCCGCTCAGCGGAGATGGGCTCCTCCAGGAGGAGATCACAGTTGGGAACGGAAGCGGCGGCGGCGGGCACGGCGGCAGGCAGCAGGCTCCCCACCGCAAACAGCAAGGCCGAGCGCGGTGTCGCTGCCGCACCAACGGCGAACGGCCCAGACTAAGGGGAAGGAGCACATGGCTCAGGCGCCCGCAGAACTCACAGCTGTAGTGGCACGTGCTAAGTAAGTGGACGGCTTCCAGCCCAGGGACAGGGCTCCCCAGGCCCCCAGGACTGGCCGTCGGAATGGCACCTGTGCCCAGGAAGACGTCTTGAACAACACGCCTGCAGACGGCCGGAGTGGGGGCACGGGGGCATCGGGGCGGAGAACGGCGGGGGCAACACGTGCGCTCAGGGCAGCGGGGATGGATGCTGACGGCAAGGCCAGGCCCAGGAGCCTCGTGCACACATGTGGGACTTTGGTGCTGAGCCGCGGGAAGGTCTGAAACAGAGCGCCTTAAACACAGTGTCCCGGAGGGAGAACGTGGACGATTCCAGGGACGCCTGAGGACGCCTGAGGACATGCTCTGCCTGTGGCTGCTGCTGGGAAAGGAAGGGGGCACAGGGAGCATGAGCAGGGTCAGGGTGAGCGAGGGCAGGCAGGGCTTGGGCCCGCAGACGCCAAGGCTGCATGGGGCTGGGAGAAGCGTCCCAGGGGCCCCAGGCAGTCACCTGCCCAGGAACAGGAACGCCCACCGGCTTCAGGTCCCCGAGACCTGGGCAGGAGCAATTCTCCAGGCAGAGATCTCAAGAGCCGAACCGCGGAGTGGCCAGCCCCTGGGCAGTCAGAGGTGGGGGAGAGGACAGCCACTCTCCTAGGTTTTACGTCCAAACGCAGGGGCAGATAGAGGGAGAGAATGCAGGCATACCTCCTCTTTCCCGTGTCCCCACGAGAGGAGACAGGTGTGAGGGGGCCCGGAACACGTGCCGTTGGAGACCACAGGGCCCGGTGTGGGGTCCGAAGCCCCAGCCCGGGCCCAGGGCCCCGCACCTGCCCTCTCTGCCTGCGGGGGCCCCTCCTCACTGGAGAGGAGCCTGGCTGTCGCCAAAGAAGGAAAAACGCGAGGACACGGAGTGAGGGGCTGGGGAACAGGCCTCCTGCGGTCAGAGCCACCCCTCCCTGAGAACCCAGGCACTGGGAAGGGAGCCCGCGAGGACCCGGGAAGGACGCCCCACCTGCGCCACAGCCGCGGCTCTGGCTGGAGTCCGTGGCCGCGTGGCCGGCGTCTCGGGAAAAGGCCTAGTTTCCTGGTCTTCAGTTCTTTGCAAGGAGTCACGGCTGTTCCCTGTGTTCTCGTGCGGAGCCGAGGACAAGCCCGCTGTCAGCCTGTGCGCCCACACGTTCCCGACTGCGTTCTGTCCCAGCCGGAAATTTTCCTGTAGATAAGCGGGAGCCTCTATTTCCAAGCTTTCGACAATTAAATGAAGTAATTATGTTCCACTTCCTCTGCACCTTCTGCAGACACACCGGAGTCGTACTTCAGACGCATCCGAACAGACTGCCTTGTCCCCCCAGACGGCAGGGCTCAGGGGAGCGGCTCACCCAGAGAGAACAAGGGAGCCTGTGTTCTCTTCCTCCGCGGGGCCCCTTCTCTGTGCCCGGCCGCCCGGCCTCTTCCCACCCAGAGGGGCCGCCCCCAGAAGGACCTTCCTCCCAGACTTGGTGTTCGTGGGGAGAAGCTCCGGCTCCTGGGGGACGCGGGATCCGAGCGGCTGCTGTGGGACGGAAGCTGGCCATTGCCGGCAGAGCCGATGTTCGCTGAGGCCGTGTCCTTCTTCAGTCTTTCAGGTTGCCCGAGAGCAAAGAAAAGTGGCATCAGGATAGCCCAGAGCAAGGAAGACAAAGAGGACCAGGAGCCCATCAGGTACGCGCACGAGGCGGGCAGGGCGGGCTGCCGGTGGGAGCAGCAGGGAGGAGGGGCGGCAGTCACCGAAGGCCAGATCTGGAACCGCACCCAGAGCACCCTGCCGGCGGCTGAACACACCGTCTAAACGGTGGGGGCTGTGGCCAGGGACTGTCCACCCGTCTGACACTCTGAGTAATGTGACCCGGACCCTCTCCCATAGCCCCGGGTGGACCTGGACGCCCCCCCCCCCCCCCCCCCGCCCTAGGTGGAAGAAGCAGTTTTCTGACTGGGAGAGGCAGGTTCACAAATATCCATGAAGGCATCGCTACGACGGAAGCCAACGTCGGCCGACATCTCTGCTCCGGAAAGTCGCGTAGCCGCTGTCTGCCTTGCTCTGGGGCAGGCCGCGGGAGCAGGGGTGCCCGGGGCTTCCAGCACACGGCAGGTCTCTCAGCCAGGCCGTCCACCCAACCATGTGCGCCAAACCAATGCCCCGAGCCCAGGTCCCAAAAATCCCGAAGATAAACCTGGAGTTGTCCTCCTGAAATGTTAGTCTCTGTGTGTTTGGAGAAAATTTTCGGTTAAAACAAAATAAAAATCAATTCAAAATATTAAAATAAACCTTAGCACAGAAAATGGGCACTATAAATTCTATAGAATGTAAACTTTGCCATTAAAAAGAAAATGCAACACCCACCCGCCTGGGGCCTGTGAGGAGCCTGAATCACGCCCACCGTCTTTGACAACCTGCGCCCGCGGTGGGGAGGTTTCAGGAGCAGGGATCAGCCTACCACTGGCCTTCAGCTCCCGCCCAGATCCCCCCTCTCTTCCCCCAAACGTGCTGACGGTGTACCGCTTAGCAGCACTACCCGAGACCTTATTACACGCCACGTCTCGCTCCAAATCCCCTCTGGCCGGAGGCTGTGGGAGAACGCAGCCAGGCAAACAAATGTTTTCTAGCTCTTGGGAAAACCACGGGTTTATAAAATCATAAAAAATAGTCCTGCAATTTCTCCTTGACTCTGCGTCCTTCCACCGTGAACGCCGTGATTCTGTCCAAAAGTGGTGTCTTTTAAACAGACCCCTGCACCACACTCACTCCAGGAACGGCTTCTTGCTCCCGCGCCTGTTGCCGCCGGACCGTGCAGCCCCCTCCGGCCGAGGACGGGAGGCCCCTCACCCGCGGCTACGTGGTGCTCTCAGCCCGGTCTGCTTTCTTCCCCTTCGCTGGAGGGAGCACTGGCTTTTCTTCGAGCCTGGTTATCCTGACCTTGCTGGAGAGGCCACCAGTGTAGACGGCGCCAAGACCACAGAGTGTGTCTCTTCTGCCCCCAGGTGTCCCGTTCCCGGGTGTGACGGTCAAGGCCACATAACCGGGAAGTACGCCTCCCATCGCAGCGCGTCGGGGTGCCCCTTGGCGGCCAAGAGACAGAAGGACGGGTACCTCAATGGCTCACAGTTCTCCTGGAAGTCGGTCAAGACGGAGGGCATGTCGTGCCCCACGCCGGGCTGTGACGGGTCAGGGCACGTCAGCGGTAGCTTCCTCACCCACCGGAGGTGAGTGCCCTCGTCCTGGCGCCGGCCCGGGGAAGCCCCGCCTGGTGGCCGCCCGCTCCTCACGCCACACCCCCAATTCGAAAAGAAGTTGGGAATCTGCCCCCAACTCATGGCCTGCCCTGGTGAGAAGGGGAAGCCCCAGAGGTGTTGGGGAAGCGAATCCCACTCCCATCCGTGGGTCGGGGCCGAGGCTTTGGGAAGCCAGGATCAGGACCCACAGAGAGAAGCCGGCCGGGACTCTGCACACACACGGGTATGTGCAGGTTAACCCTTTGGGCTGAAGAAGGCGGGAGGCCCCACGTGGGGAAGGAGGCTGGCATTTGGCACAGGGCCTCCCGCTGCACGCCTGGGCCAAGAATGTATCAGGAAATTTCCAGAAAAGCCAATTGTCCCATTAATTTTTACTTGCTTACTCTTGGGAATCCATAGAGTTCGATGGTCTTAGCAGAAGCCCCGTTGAATCAAAGGGCTCCCCGTGGAAGGGTTAGGATGGGCGGTGTAGACAAATCACATGGACCCGGTTGGGCGTGGTGGCCCGCGGTTGAAGCCACAGCCAGCAGAGAGGGAACACGCCAGTTCACACACCAGGAGTCGTGGGAAGTTTGGGAGTATGGCACCGAGCCTTGAAATGTTCCTCGAAGGGAAGGTCAATTTTTAATTGTTAAAGGAATCCCTGCTCTGGTAGAAAACTCAGACGGGATCAGTGAGCCCAAAAGGAAGCAAGAACGTCTTTCCCCGACCCAGTCTCTCAGCCTGCGGCCCTCGTGTCTCCAGCAAGACACGGCGGTGAACAGAGGCCCGAGCAGCCCCGCGCAGGTGCACGCGCTCAGGGCACACTCAGCGCCCTGTCTCTGTGCTCCAGCAGACCCCACGGCTGGTACTGGGATGGCCCAGGTCCTGGTGTGCAGACACTGACCCTACCCCCGGGATTTGCCACGGGCCCCCAGGGCCAGGAAGGCTCCCTCTTTGGCCCAGGCCCTGGCCAGAGCCCAGAGGTTCCCGGAGGTGACCCACGACGCCTTCCCCGCAGGAGGATCATCAGCTGCGGCGGATGAGCCCAGGGCTCTGGCTGTGTCTCTGGCTGTGTCCCCGGCTGTGGCCCCGCCCTCCTCCCTGCACGGGGCGGGATCCGGGACGTCTCAGGGCATTCAGAGGGCGTCGGAGGCGGGGGCCCTGCTGTGGGCTGTCGAGCTCCACAGATGGGATGCTGGCACTTAACGGAAGGGCTGCCTCTGTGTGCCTGCAGGGGTAGGGCTCTGAGCCCCAGGAGCTGGGGGTGGAGCCCATATTTGTAGGGTGTGACTCCGGGAAAGGGGACGAGCGGCACGGAGAGCAGAGCTGACAGCATTTTGTTTCCATTTGTGGTAAAAACACACCTTCTCATGTTCACTATTTTGGGGCGTCCAGCTCAGTGACATTGAGGTCACTCACGTTATGTGGCCATCCCACCATTCAACTCCAGGACTTTGCTCTCTTCCCAAACGGACACTCTGTCCCCGTAAACCCTTGCTCCCCACTCCCTCCCCCAGCGCCCGGTGCCGCCATCAGCTCTCTGCTCTCACACCTCAGAGTCCCCTCCAGGACCTCCTGTGAATGGGATCCTGCAATTGGTCCTTCTGTGGCTGCCTCCTCTCACTGGGCACGGTGTCCCCCATGGGCGGCAGGCGTCAGAATGTCCCTCCTCAGAAGGCTGAACCGCAGCCCCTTGTTTTCGTGGGAGCTGTTGGCAGGCAAACCTCGCTTCCACAGAGGTGTACGGACAGTCGTCCGGGCAAGCACTCGGCCGAGGGTGCAGAGATCCATCCCTTGGAGGCTGTGGCCCCGCTGTGTGGAACGGCAGGCGGCCGTCCTCCCAAACCCTCAGGCCTCGGTTAGGAGGGGCCCCCAGGAAGACCCCATTGGTGCACTGAGATGCGGGGCTCCTCCTACGACCCCCAGTGCTGTGAAAACTCAGGTGTAGCATCGGAAGGAAAGATTCCACTGACCCACAAGTTTCCTGTTCTTCCTCTTTCCGCCAAAATGTGACAGGTCCTGAGGGGTCGGGGATCGTGGTCGGCAGTGCCAGGACGAAAGCAGTAGAGGAGGCCGGAGCATGGGTCTGGGGCTGCCGGGCCCGCCGAGCCACTGTCCCCAGTGTCCTCCCCAGGGAGGTCATGGCCGCAGGGCAGCCGGGCACAACAACAGTAGGAACCACTGAGCTCTGTAGGCATCCCCGTCCCCACGGGCTGTGAAACTGTTTCGCCTATTTTGTTCCTTCGAGGCTGGGGTCCACACTCTCTACCGTGTGAGGGAGGTGGGGGGCTCCAGTCTGTGTCCTGAGCAGGGCCGTTATAAAGGACATAGAAATTGTCTTATTTTATCTTAAGGATTGGCTGAGTCTTCCTTAAAAAGCAATGTTTAAATGAAAAATAAGTCATTCAAAACCAAATACGTTCTCATGTAAATCAGACAAATCTCTGTTGGAATGTGTGTCTAATACTCCGCACCAAGGAAAGTAGAGCTCCTTGTTTTCGGATTATATGGCACGATTTTGTAACTCCTGCCCACCACGATCAAGGAATACTTCTTGAGTCTTCTGGAGGGACCAGTTCTCCCCACTGGGGCTGCCCCCCAGCCCCACTTCCTTCGAAGGCCAGCCATGAGCAGAAGGAACACTGTCGTTTGGAGCAGCAGCCGTGAGGCCCATCCCCTGACCGCACGTGCCTCCCTGGGGCTTCAGGGTCTTCCAGAAAACCCAGCTGGGGACCGCTCAGCTAGGAGTCCCAGTGACCCAAACCGGCCTGGGATAGGCCAGAGGGCAGAGGGCAGGTGTCGGGAGCAAGCAGGGGTGCATTGAGGGTAGAAGAGACACAGGTGGGGGCCGTTATCCCCCAAGGGGTCAGACGGGTTGGGGGTGGGGCACAGCCTCAGGAAGAGAGAAACAGGGAAAACCGGGGACAAAAGAACACTGAAGATCTGGGAGGACGGGCGGGCAGAGCTCAGGGGAGGTCAGAGCCCGGGCCAGGGTCAGGGCGGGTGCCCCAAGGAGAAGCTGCTGTGGAAAGGGGGTGAGTAGGCAGCGGGCAGCCCCTCAGGACCCCAGTGAGTGTCCACAGCCACTTGGGCAGCACCCAGTGGGCGTGAGAAAGCTACGCAGGTGGCTGCCTGGCACAGCCCTGGGAAACACCTGGGCACTCGGAGCCCGGGGCCCACTGAGAGTGGGCGTGGGCGGGCAGGGGCGGGCGGAGACTGGGAGGGGCTGGCTGCCCCAGCGGTGCACCCCACTGCCTGGTCTGAACCCGCCGGCCCCTGGACCTGGCTGTGTCTCCAGAACCATCCCCTCCTCCCAGCCAGCCGCTGAACCCATTTCTCGCCTCCCTAGAACTCTTTTCCCCCACCTCCCCCTCTGCCGGGAAGAGGCCTGCTCACCCCCTGCGTGTGGGGGGAGCTCTGTGTGCCCAGCGGCTTTGTAAGCGCCTTCCCGGGCTAGCCCTCTGAGTCACGGTGACAGCCCAGAGGCACAGGTGCCCTCGTGTCCCCAGGCTGGGCAAGGGACGGGGCTGCGTGGGGCGTGCACGTGACCAGCAGACCTCACAGTCCGGCAGAAATCAAAGTCACCAGGGCTAACCCAGGAAAATTAACCAGCAGTCTTAGAACTGAGTCTTATCTTTCACTGGGCTTGACCAGAATGAAATATTTTTTTCAAAAAGCTCACGTCCTAGACCCTCTTAAACTTTCCTCCCAGACCCAAAACCTGATGTATTGTATTTTCAGTTTCCTTACAGTTCATCACAAGTGGGGAGACGGCCTTTTTCCGAATGTCTGTTTTGCCTGATTCTTGCCAAGGGAATTGCATTAACATGAGTTCTCCTCCTCAACCCCCCCCCCCCCGGGGCCCCTCGCCATCGACCATCTCAGTGCTCTGGGGAGCATCTGCATTTCCTTCCCACCCTCCCCAGGTAGACCCAGGGCACCTCAGCCCCTGTTGCAAGGGACACTGGGAGATGTAGTCTTCCCAAGGGATGCTGGGAGATGTAGTCCACCTTTGGGATGTGGGGGAGTTGGTCTTGGAGAGCCCAAGAAGAGGAAAGCTGATGCTGCCCTGCTGCTGTCGGATGCTGAGACGCCCTGGCTTCTTACCAACACAGACGTAATCACGGAAGCACAGCACCCTGGGATGTGTGTGGTCCGGATGTTAGATCAGACAACCGACACCAGGAAGGCAAGACGCTCTTCCCTGGGCACATGGCCCACAGAGAGGGAAGTTGTCCGGTGGGCGGCACGCATGGACCCCTGTGTCCACTGGAGGACCCAGCCTGGACCACGCGCTGTACAGTGACTTGGGAAGGCGTCAGGCAGAGCGCTGGGCTCCCTGTGGGCCTCCGGGAGGTGTCACCGGCTCTTCTACACTAGCGGCTCACAGCCCGCGGGCGCCCTGCGGCCCCAGAGAAGAGGATCGCGCACTCTCTCCAGAGTCACCCACACTCCTTTCGCTCCTCCGACCGCCTCCTGCCATGGCCAGTGGTGGGCCGGCCATCACGGACCCTCATGGACCCTCAGGGCAGACATGCCCGGACCTGTGGCCCCCCGACGCGCGAGGCTGGGAGCCGTGAGTACCGTCCCTGCAGCAGAGGTCCCTGCGTCCATGCACCTGTCTCAGCCTGATCAGATGGGGTCCTCGTTGCAGGTTCTGGGGGCCGGAACATCAACGTGTCTTCTCAGGGGGACAACTGACCCACGGCAATGACAGAGGCTGGATTTAGCTCACAAGCAGCAAAAGAGACAAAAGCAAAACTGATTACTCTCTGTTAGGACGAGCTTTCTCAGCACAAAACCCAAATGGGCTCAACAAGTTTCCAGTTCCTTGTCAGGTAAACGGGGATGGTGCTGGGGTGACTGTGACCGTGGATCCCGGCCCCGTCATGCTGCCACCAGACACTTGGCGCTGCCTCTCAGGGCTTCTGTCACTGATGAGGGGCTGGACGCCGCTGTCTCTCGGCCACCCACTTGGGTGTTCCCTCTGACCCCTGCACCAAGAGTCCAGGCTCTTGGCCGCCCAGGTCGCTCCAGGCCGGAGTCATCCCTGAGGAGGAAGAGCCACTGGGCTCCCTGCAACCCTGACCCATAGAAGGGGAGAGAGGAGCCGTCGATGCAGACTCTGGGCATACGGCCCTGTGCCTGATGGTGGCAGCCGTCTCTCTAGGACTCCTGGGCCACAGCCCAAAAACACATTCATCTCCACTGACCTCAAAATTCCACCGAAATGGCCTGCTCTCCTTTTTATAAACCCATGAAATAAAAATAATAAAAATGTAGAAAGCAAAGGGAGTTCCGTCCCCTGCATGGAGTCCCAGGAGCCAAGGTGCTGGGGGATGCAGGTCTAGGGTCCGGCTCTGAGGGGACAGACGAAGGCAGGTGCCCGGATGGACGCTGGGGTGGGGGTGGGGGCGGGGTAGAAGCCAGGCATGAGCACGTGGTGTGGCGCACGGGCCCCAGGACCCTGCAGTGGGACTCCGCACAGCCTTGGAACAGCAGGAGGTGGAAACCTCTGTGAGAAGAGCGAGGCTTCAGACGCCTCGTGTCCCTGTGCCCGGCGGGAGGGGCGTTCTGCGCCGGGGACCCCAGTGTGTGGGAGGCAAGAATGCCCCGTGCAGGGCGAGGCCCTCCACCTCCGGCTCCCAAGCTGCTGTGGGCACAGCCTCAGCCCATGTGTGTCCCCTCTGACCTCCAGACAGGAGGGGAGCCCCCCGAAACCTGCAGGCCCCAGGACAGGCCTCAGTGGGTGACACTCGGTAGATGGGAATGAACAGCCCCAGATGACCCACCATTTAAGGGAAGCACTAAGTTACACTGGCAGAACGCAAAGCAGGCTTTAACCAAGAAAAGGACAGAGAAAACAGACATTTCAGGAAAGAGATTTTTTTAATTTGTCAGCAGATAGAAAGGAGCACAAGCGGAGTAATATGACAGACTCCTCGCAACCCAAGAGAAATCAAAGGAACACGTTCTCTTTAAAACAAAGACAAATGAGATAAAAAGTTCAGTTGGAAGGTTAGAGGGTAAAGTTGAGGAAATCTGTCTTAAATTATAAAATGAGAAAAGAAGACAGTTTTTAAAACCTAGAGAAGGATCCCTGGGGCTTGCTAGCCTAGCGCGCTAACAGGAGTCTCCAGCAGTGGGAGAAGAGAGGAAGAATGGCCGTCCGCACGCACGGAGAGAGCAGGAGAAGCAGCCCCGGGCGCAGGACACTGTCCCCAGGCCGTCCTGCAGGTTTACTGGCCCGCCGGGTAGTCCCTCCTGCCTGATGACCCTCCTGCCATGTGTCCCTCCCGCCATGGACCCTCCCACTGGGTGTCCCTCCCACTGGTTCTGGACTGGGGAATTGAAACCCCCAAGTGCCGGGAAGCAGGGGCTTAGCGCCTGTGGCATTGGCATCTGGCCACGCACGCCACACCTGTCCCATAAGCGGGCTTGCAGAAGCCGGTGGGACTGTAACTCGGGGCCAGCAGGTGTCTGCGCTACAGGCCCAGTGGCACCAACCAGATCTGCTGTCTTGCAAGTGAGACGTGTGCTGCTGACACCACCGTTCCCAGAGTCTGTCTGAGGCCTGTGCCTCGAGATGTCTCCCCCAGCCTCCCCAGGTGGCCAGCAGCCTCCGGACTGCAGCTGTCAGCTTGCTCGCAAGCCCGGGGGCCCTCCCATGACGAACCCCTGCCCCCACACCTTTATAACCACGCCTCCCGGAAACATTCCCTTATTTCGCTCTTTCCAGCTGGAAGATTCTCCTAAAGGAGGTCCTGTGGGCCGGGTCCTGACCAAAGGTCTCCCTCCCTCTGTCCTTCTGAAGCACTTGCCTGCAGCCCACCCTGGTCTGGGTGCCGGGGCTGGAGCTGGACGTCTCGGGGCCACCAGTTAGCTGCATCTTTCCAAATCCCCACTCAGAGCAATGCAGTGTTACTTAGAGGAGTTTCTGGAACGGCTGCTGGGTCCCAAGGGAAACACCCTGAGCCCTCGGGGTCCACCCCTCGAAGGGGAGGGTGTGAGTCCTGCAGCCATCTGAGCCCCCAGGAGCCAGCACACCACGACGCGAGGTCAGCACAAGCCCCAGGGGGAGCCCATGGACCTGCCCGGCGCCCAGGTCAGTGCCAGGGGCCCTTCCACGTCGGACCCATGCGGACCGTGCTGTCCCTGAGCCCAGGCGGGCATGCTTGAACAAAGCGCGTTGCTCCGTGGTCCTGTCTCTGCCCGATTCAGTGTCCCAGCTCCAGGGAGTGTCTCTGGGAAGGACGCCACCCTCTGCATCCCTGGCCCGCCCTTTGTTATCTCAAAACCAAGAGAAATGAGGGAAGACCAAACCGGGTTCTGCAGGTCAGCGTGCTCCGGAAGCCCGTGTTTCTATGACGTTCAGAGGCTGCTGTCGTGCTCAGGTCTGGGGCTGGCATTCTGGGTGCCCGTGGGAGGGCCTGAGTGCGTCCCCTCCGCTGGCTTCACTCTACTGATCCCTCCCCTTCGCAGATCTGCTTCCACGCACCGCGGCATCACTGACGTCTGACAACCTTCTTCTCAGGGCAGAGAATCAGGCGGGGAGAGGCCGAGCCCAGGGAGCAGCCGGACAGGGCCAGAAGGACATGGCCCCTGGGGAGCAGCCCCAGTGGTCACAGACAGGGGAGACCACCAGGCTGCCAACTGGCCGGGGCCACTGGTGCTGGCCCAAGAGTCGGGGGCCAGAGACAGGCTAGCGGGGCTGGGGGGCAGACACAGACAGCAACCAACGCACCGGCCAACATGGGGCACAGAGTCCTGAGAAGATGGGGGAGGTGGGCAGAAGATAGGGACCTGACAGTCCTGGGGGGCTGATACCCGTTAGCCCAAACCAGCACCAGCAGACGCGGATCCCAGATGCAGATCCCAGCCGCTGGGTCCCAGGAAGAGCGACCAGGGCAGAGATGGCTTAGCCTCTCCGGGGCCCTCTGGAGCAGCTCCCAGACACAAGCCTCTCACCGACGGCTTATCAGAGACAACGGGGACGTTGCTGTGAACCGTGAGAGGACATCTGCGTGAACACATTTAGGAAGTCTCCGTGCACTGACGTGGGCAGTACTTGTGCTGCTGACAACCGTGTGATCCACACTGCAGTGGGCGTTGGGTGGACACAGGTGTAGGGCTGTGGCCAGGGGCCACCTGGCACCTAGTTACGGATGAAACATGTAGGAAGTAAACATACATGTAATACTGGACACACAGCCATGTGCATGTGTGTCGTTTCCATGTCACGAGGGCCAGGGGTCCCCTGGGGTGCCCTCGGGTGGTGGCCGGTGAGGCGGAGCCCCCAGGGGCAGGTGTGATGCAGCCCAGGCTCAGGGCCATGGGAGGTGCCCAGGCTGCAGAATCATCCTCCATGTATACACAGCCCGAAAGGGAAGGAGGGGGAGCCGTCCTGGGGACACAGTCTGACCAGACGCCTGCCTGCGCTCCTCGCCCCGACTCTCCTCCCTGCAGGGCTGGGGTCCTCCCGAGACCTCCAAATCACGCCGCCTTGTCTTGTCCCCAGCTTGTCGGGCTGCCCACGAGCCACGTCGGCCATGAAGAAGGCGAAGCTGTCGGGAGAGCAGATGCTGACCATCCGACAGCGGGCCAGCAGCGGTGAGTGCCCCTCCCCCGCCGGCACTCCTCCCCCGCCGGGCGCCACGGGCCCCCGGGCCCAGGGTCGTGATATCTCTACTTAGAAAGCTGGGGTACGGTCATTCCGGCCACAGCTAAGAAGCCAATCCCCTCGGCTTGGGGGAGCCCAAACTCATCACTCACCGGGACCCCTAATAGTCCCAGGGATTTGCTCCCCAGAACTCCGGCAGCCCCCTCGTGTCTCGGCCCCCAGGTCCTCCTGCAGGGCCTGAGTCTAGGACGCACTCCTGTCCCCTCCGTGCTCAACTTCCCAGTCCTGGAAGCTTCCCAGTCCTGACCACTTGCAAGCACCCCTCCCACCACGTGCCTGTGGGCGCCCGGGGTATGGAGCGGGGGGTCCCCTGGGGTGCGGAGTGGGGAGGGCAGGGGGAGCAGCTGACTGGGTGCTGGGGGGACCCCGTGGGACGTCAATCTGGGTCCTGCAGAAAGAGCATCACCTGCAACCACTCAGCAAACTGGGCCTTGAAGGGTAGGAGCGGGGACCCCTCCTCAGCATTCGGAGGCCGCTGGGAGCCGGGAGCCAGCACGGAGCCAGGCTGACCAGTGCGGGGCTGGCCAATGGCGAGCTGGGGTGGCAAAGGCCTGGGGCAGGCGCCGCCCTCCCTGCGGGCTCATCAGAGCAGCAAGCACCGCGGGGCCTGGGTCACGTCTGGGCGGAATCCCTGGACCCATTCCTGGAGCCACGTGCCCGGCTCCGACCCCGTGGACCCGGGCCTCCGGCGCTCAGGCTCTACCTGAGGCCGCCGCCCTCGCAGGAAGGCCAGGGGTTCTGGGGCCCCCGATGTTCATGACAGGTCCTGACCACAGCTCGGGGCCTCTGAGTGTGCCCTGCACTGAACAGCCCTTCCTGTGTGGCTGGCCACAGACGGAAGATGGCCTGGGCCACAGTGTTTGCATCTTGCTGGCATGGACACCAGCCTCCCAGCTTCTGCTCGACGGGCACTGGTACCAGAGGCCAGAGCCCGATTAGAGGGAGCGCTGCCCCCAGACGTTCTGGGGCCCCTGGGGTGCCCACAGGCCTGAGGCCCCACATGGGGCCGCCACCGTGAGATGTCAGGCCCATCCTCACTGCTCCGGGCCATCACAGGGCAGGGCTCATGCAGGAAGATCCGCCACCAAGACTCTTTCCAGCCCACCCTGCGTGGCCCGTCGCCCCAGACAGCCCTGCGTCCACGTGGTCCCGTGGGCCAGTGGGTCTGCTTGGTCAGCTTCTGATTCGTCTGGGAGGGAGACGGCCGGGAGTGGGGCTGTCCTCACAGAGCAGGAGCGGGAAGGAAACACGGCGGGTCACACCCAGTGAGGAGGGGCCGTCCCCTGGGCGGGCGGTCGTGGGACGTGCGTCTCAGGGCGTCAGAGACCACGTCTTTCCCAAGGGGTGGGGAGTCCAGAGTCCTCTCTCTGGCAGTGCCAGGCACGGCAGCTCTCAGAACCAGCGCGCCCTCGTGGATGAGAACGGTGGTGTGTACCACCTCCCGGGAGGCGCCAGGATGCCCCGTCCCGTGGGGAACCACACGCCCACCGGTCAGCACCCCGACACAGGAGGCCTGATTCGGGGCTCAGGGCCGGAGCCTGGCTCTCTGTGGCAGGCTCCGGGGTACATGTGTGTGCGTCGAGGACACTCATGTCCCAGAGCCTGGGGCCAGGCTGCAGCCTGTCGCTTCCCGTCTGCGCAGACCTTCTTCACGCCGGGACCAGAGTCCTTCTTACTAAGCCCGGAGCCCACTTGGTTCAGTGCCCGGGCTGTGGCGTGGAACGTGGACAGTCCAGAATTGCTCGCGCCCCGTGTGGCCAACTCACGGGCAGCACGCGCTGCTCCTGGGAATGAGGCGAGAGCACCCCACTTTCCTCAGCAGCTCTGTTCCTTCTTCAGAACCTGGTTTTGGTGCTGCCCTAGCTGCGTCTCCCCCTCGCTCGCTCTCGTGGGTGTCTTGAGTGTAGAGCCTTCCTGTTGCTTTTACACATCCATAACGAAGGTGCCGGAAGCGTCCCTCGCTCCACATCCTGGCCTGCACTGAGTGACAGGACCTCAAGGAAGCCTCCACTCGGTCGGCGGAGCCTACGCGGCCAAGCGGCCCCTGCGCTGGGCTTCCGGCTCCTTCTCTCAAGTGTGCGCCTGCTTGGAAAGGAGCTGTGCTAAGTGTCCTTGAGGCTCTGAAATCCCTCGTCCGTCCTTCCCGCCCTCCTCCTCCTCCTCATTCTGACTCTTCCAGCCTCGAGAAGAGTCTGGTCTCCTCTGCTCCCACACAAGGTTGCTGTGATCCCTCTCCCCCGAGCGGTCTCCCAGAGCAGCCGCCCCTCTGAAGCCCCTGCTGTCCCTGCTCCCCGGCTCTGTGTTGGTTCTTCATTGGTTTTGACCAAGAAGGAAATGAGACAACCCCTCCTTTTGCTTTCCTCTATTATCGTAGAAGACGGGACGCTGGCGGAAGGGACTGTGACTTCTGTCACCTGCGCAGGCAGTTACAAACGTCTAGCTCTCGCTGAGCTGCCCCGAGAGGAGGGTGTTGCCCTGGGACACAGGCATCAACGAGCCGGCCAAGGCGCTGGCTCCCGGGGCACAGCACTTTCTCCCCACGCACCCCAGTCTGCACTCCCAGGTCTGGTGTGCTCCCCTCTCCAGGAGCGGGCCTTGTGCTGAGCCCTGGGGCCCTCAGGGTGTCCGAGGTGCAGGTGCACATTCATGGCTTTAAGGAAATTCATTTCCAGACACTCAGATTCCTCTCGATTCCTGAACCCAGGGGACAGAGAGTCCGTCCATCTCCTGCCGGTCTCTCCCTGCCCCTCATGGTGTGCTGCCCTCCCCACCTTCTCAGGAGGGAGGCTGCAGAGTTGGGCGCAAGTGCCTCCTGGGACCCGACAGGAGCGGCCTGCACGGCCGGGCTCTGTGGGCACAGCCCAGGAGCACCAGCACGCAGAGCCAGAGCGTGTCTGGGGGAGCCGTGTCTGCTCCTGTTTCCCAGAGACGAAACCTCTGACGCTCGCCCATCCGTCCGTCCAGCGCTCCCAGAAGGGAAATCAGAGATGGGAGGGCGTCATGCGGTCCTTGCTGTCATTTTATTGGGCTTAAAACGACCTCTCTCAGGCAGCCAGTCTGACCTGCAGACTGGCTCGGTGATGGCACTTGGCTTACGCAGCGGACGTCTCTCAGGAATCCTGTGGACTGAATGTCTTGGCCCAGGTTTGGATGGACACGTATTTAAGACTGTGCAGCATACGATTTTGGAGATATATGAAACTATTTAAATTTAGAATAAGAAGTTTAAAGGATAAGACATAAAAAGGAACTCTGTTTTTAATTCTTTAATTCAGCAAAAAATGAGGCCCCCGGCGCTAGACCACATGCTGTGTTTTTCCTCTTTCTTTTCTTTTTAATGACTTGTCAGCTCTCAGCACGGAGTCAGCAGAACAAAAGCAGCCTGTGCCGCTTTTCAGGCCGCTGAGCGCGCAGCCCATCGAGCTCACGGGTCTCTGGCTTCTCAGGCGACCCGACCCGGATGTGCGGTGGGCTTCTCCAGCAGCCACCTGGCAAGTCCCGCTGAGTCAGGGGTCTTCTCACTGAGAGGAAGTGACCTCTTACTCCCGCTGTGTCCGAGGCGCACTTTGCAATGGAGGGTTGGAAGGACTAAGAAAATTCTCATCACGGAACTGTCACGTGGGAAGACACGGATTTATATCCCACGTGCACCATGTTTCAGATGCCGGCTTACAAGCCCCCCGCATCTCAGACCCTCCCCAGGGCGGTGGTACAGAGATGTGCCCCGCCCTCCGGAGCCCTCTGTCCCAGGTTGCGCCACCTCTGACCCCGCTTCCGAGTTGGTTTCGCATAAAGTTAAAGAGCAAGTAGTCACTTGGACGGGATCGGTAGAATGGCCCTCTGAGATGCCAGCCACCCTCCAGGAGACCACGTGCCCCCCCGGCGCTCCAGTGGACCCACTCAAAGCTTGCGTCTGCCAGCGTCCTGGCCCAGCAAAGGCGTCGGCGTTCCAAGTGTTCTGGTTGCTCTGCGTTCCCCCGCGCCGTGCATGGAGCACATCCAGCAGCCCAGCTGAGATGACTCCATCGCAGTCTCAGACCCCGACTTCCCCCACCGCTTTCCGGCTTTGGGGTGACCTGGCGATCTCCAGACCACCGTCACGAAATGAGTTGTTTGCTCTGGGATTCCACGCATCCGCTGCCGGTGCCCACACGCTCTCCTGGTGCTGGGACCGGCAGGCGCGCGGAGCCGTCATCACCGTTTGCATCGGGGCGCGACCGAAATCAAACGTCCCGACGGGACGACTCGGAGGGTCCACAGCAGGCGGTCCCTGGAGGAGCCACCCCAGCCTCCCGCGCAGGATCCCCCGCCGCCGCCTTCACAAGCCGCAGCGCGTCCGCTCTTGACACGCGTAGCCGCCGTCCGCGAATACAAGTCCGCGCTCTTCTCTAACGTCTGTAGGAAACGGGTCCGTTTGCCGCTCGCTTTCCCGTGGGCAGCGCGTTCCTGTGCGCCGCGGTTAGCAACGCCCCGGGGGCTTCTGAGCGAAGGACAAGCTGCGTCTGTCAGGGGAGCGTGGCTCTGGACAGGCCGCCAGACCTCGGGGCGCGGGACAAACAGGACACACGCCGGGGCTTCCAGAGGCCGAGACCGCACGGAGCACCAATGCGGGTCCGGTGTCCACGGAGACTCTCACGCACGTGGCGGAGGCAGACGGTCTAGGGTCGTTCAGTCTGAAAACCCGAAGAGGGATGACATGAAGAACCTACTGGGAAATGGGGTCCAGCACGGCCCGGGCTCAGGGCCACACGGGAGACGGCGGCTGCGCCTGGGCTGTTTGCTGCTTCGAGGACCGCGTGGCGAGCCCCACTGGGGGTAAAGGCTTCGGAATCAGCATCCTCAGGCCCCGGCTGTGGCAGTGATGTCATTGGCTTCCCAGGCACAGGTGTCCTGCCTGCCACGTGTCACGTGCAGGAACTCGCTCAGGCCGATTCCGAACGGCGGGAAACTGCAGCCGCTGTCTGGTCACAGGCTGGAAGGGGACAGCAAAACAGTGCGTCCCCGAGGAAGGGCTCGCCACATCTCTGGAGGACTTCCTAGGAGCTGAGAACCGCTTCCAAGGAGGCAGCTGATGGCGACTCGCGTGCCGGGGACGCACACCCAGGGCCTCCGTGATGGGGCCACGAGACCCAGGCTTGGAGTTGGGGGGCCATGGCCAGTCCCTCCGGGTGGGAGGATAAGGGGGACTCGGCAGGCTCAGGGCCCGTACGTCCCCAGGGGGGGTCTCTGGGGGACATTCAGCAGGAAGGACCCACTCACCTGGCCCCTGTAGGGTCTGGGTCTTGGGCCTTCCCTCCCAGTGGCTGCGCCCCTTCTGTCTGTAGAGTCAAAGAAGGGCATCTGCCCAGGGACCCCAAAGCCTAGGCTCTGTGCCTGTCCCATGGTTTCACATGAGCGTCCCCCCTGTGCCCTGTGACCTGCGTCCCGGCTTGTCGAGGGTGGAAGCCTCTGCGGACGTCCTGCTCTTCCTCCCCGAGTACCTTCTGCCGCGTGAGACCCGATGGCCGAATGACACTGGGTCCAGATCTTTCCCACCCAGCGTGTCCCGGGGCCAGCAAGCAGCCTGGCCGCCCGGCGAGGCCCCCGGGGCATACCGAGGCTGCCACCACCCCACAGGTGTCAGTGGAAGCACGTTTCCACATTCAAACGGAGGAGGAGTTTGCATCAGTGAGAAGTCCTCTGTGGGGAGACCCCTTCGGAAGACGCTGAAGACCCGCCGCCACGGTCTTCCCTGCAGTGCGGGCAGGAGGCGGCCCTGAGCACGCAGGGTGTCGGGGGCCTGACACAGCCCCCCAGTGGCAGCAGAGAGGCAGACAGGCAGACAGACAGACCGGGAACAGAACCAGGAGGCAGGTGCTGGGCTGGAGTCGCTCGGGGCCGGGCCTCTGGTGGGCCGTCCCGGGAGACCTCACCCTGGCCTGCGGCGGCGGTGGGGTCTGCAGGTGCGCGGCCGGTCTCCTCCACGGTTCGGGGCCATGATCACGAGGAGGGCGGCGGGAGGGATGGACGGACACACAAACTGTCACTTTTTTTTTTGAAATCCAAGAATATATTTTTTCCAGCAAATTCACTCCCAAATACAAAAGAGCAAGGAGAAGTAACTCCGTGCTGACGTCCGTAGCTGTAACGCAGCCCTGTCCCCCGTGCAGGCCTAGAGAATGACGAGGAGATCAAGCAGTTGGACGACGAAATCAAGGAGCTGAGCGAGTCCAACTCCCAGATGGAGGCCGACATGATCAAGCTGAGAACTCAGGTAACAGTGTTTGAAGCCCCCGACTGCAGCCGCACCTGCTGGCCCAGGGCCTGCCTGCCGTCGGCCTGGGGCACGTGCTCCCCCTCTTTTGGCTCTCTGTCCCCGTGCCCCCTGCACCTCACAGCCCACATCCTGCTCGCTGGCTGAGGCCAGGGGCTGGGCTGCAGAATGCCGAGTGCTGCGTGGCCACTGCCACTGGGTCCACACTGTGCACGCGTTCGCGAAATGCCGTCAGTGAGCAGTGCTGCGAACACAAGCCGCCCATCCCTACACGTGAGCTGCCTTCCTCCCAGGACACGGCAGGTGCTAATGCCCTGTGGTCACTGCCTTAGAGAGAGAGCTGACATTCCCCAGACAAGGGCAGGCCGGCCCCAGGGCAGGGTGGAAGATTGCGAGCTCCTGCAGGGGCCTGGCCCAGGTGCCCAGGGACCGGGGGTGGGGGGAGAGGGGCAGCCTTTACGGAGCACCTACTGGGTGCCCGAGTGTGGGGCTGCAGTGCATAGTCCTACTGTGTACTCACCATGGCCAGCCAGATAAGCATCCTCTCCCTCATATTATACACATGGTGACTCCTTCGGCTAAGCCAAGGTGGATGGCCAAGATGCTGCCGCTCAGTCTCCCGTCCCTGAATCCCACGCAGTGCCCCAGGCTCTCTGGCACGTTTCCCGGAGCGGCCCAGGATCCCGGTGCCACATGGGCTCTGAGATTAGGCCCTCATGGCACCGCCATCACAGGCCACAGGTAAGGCGAGGCACTTCTATCCTGGAAGAAAGCGGGGGTCTGTGCGCCCCCTCCCTGCAGGCCCCTCCTGGCCGCCGACAGTGGCTGGCGGGGGTCCGGGTCTGGCCCAGCCTCAGACGCCAGGTCGTGGTCATAGCTCCGCCACAGGCTGGTTCCATCTGCGGGACGCCCCAGCTCAGGGAGGTGCATCTCAGGCTGTGTCCCCACCAGAACTCCTGAAAGGGAGCCCGTGGCGCCCATGAGTGGGAAGGAAGCCCAGATGGCGGGTGCTCTCTACGGGGCCTGACTGTTCTGGGGGTCACTCTCTCACACCCAACTCCTCGCCCATAGCAGCCCCATCCCGCACCGGTCACGGGGTCGGCACGCTCACCTGCCCAAAGGCCCACCTGGAACAGGTGGGAAGTTTCCGTAGCATCTATCCACATGCACGGCTGCGATCAGCCCGTGGCCGGGGGCCCTCAGAGGAGAGGGCCCGAGAGGACTCCAGGGCCACACAAACCCCCGGGAGCCCCCATCAGCAGCGACTCGTTTCACCAGATCCTGGGAAACACCGGCCCTGACCTTTATCCTGCTCACGAGGGTGGCAGCCCTCAGTCCTCAGCACCCTGCGCTCGGAGCCCCTCTTCTGTGCAGGTGCCAGGCTGCAGCCTGCCGGGCACCCACTCGTGCCCCCCGGGAAATGAGTCTGCTCCGCAGGGCTCTCCCACCCTGGGACCGGGGCTGCCGCGGAGCCCGCGCAGGGACAGGGGCCAGACCTGAGCTCCCCAGGGCGCCCCCAGACACGCTTGCTCCTGTCACCACCACCACCCCCAGTCGCTTTGTCCCCGTGTAGGTCGCCATGGGCCTTTCGTGGCTTTTTGACATCGACGTGAACACGTGCTTCTCCAGACATCAGCTCACCTCAATGTCAAAAGTGAATTTTAAGCGTTGCTGTGTGTTCTCGCTGTCCTGGCTGAGGTCCCTCTGGGGCCTGCCCTTCTCTGACAGGCCAGCATCTTCAAGGGATGGGAGGATGCGGAGCTGTGTGGTTCCCAGGGCCAGAAGGGTGCGGCAGGTCAGGACGGACAGGCAGGGGTGAGCCCCTGGGACACGGTGTCAGCTCTGCCGAGGAGTGCTCCCGCCCGTTCCTGCAGCCCCCGGCTGGCACAAGGTGCCCAGGGACAACGAGGCTGTGGCCTCCATAGCCCACTTGCCAGTCAGCCCCGGAGCACCTCTGCCTTCTAACCTCTGGCCTCCCACTTGTCTCAGAAAGTGCTGGAAGGTTGAGGTCTTGAAGCAGGGCTTTCTGCAGCCTCTGCGGCCCTCACTCCAGGCTGGGATCAGAGCCCACAGTGCAGGACCTTCCTTCACAGACACCTTCTACCAGAGCCAGCGCAGGCCTTTCTAACTGGGCATTGCCACAACAGCCAAACCCATGTTGCCTCTAGGAGAGATTGGAGAGGACAGCATCTCCCTCCTCCACTTCCACAGCCCCTCCCCGAGCAGGAGCGGGGTGAGCCCCATGCTCTCGCAGCTGGGGACAGGGAGACAGGGGCTAGGGGCAGGGAGACAGAGTCTGGGTCAGGGATACAGGTCCTGGAGCAGGGAGACAGGGACTGGGGTCAGGGAGATAGGGCCTGGGAACAGGGAGACGGGCCCAGGGCAGGGAGACAGAGGTTAGGGGTAGGGAGACAGGGTCTGGAGGCATGGAGGCATGGAGGCAAGGGCTAGTGGCGGGGAAACAGGGTCTGGGGGCAG